TAATACACCGGCTTTTACACCTATTTTTGACAGCCTCAGCCAGCTTAGGGAATTTTCACCACAAAATCTGATACATACCAAAGACCTCCTTGCAAGAAGAGTCAAACGTTCGATTTGGTTTGTAGTTTATCAAAATATTTGAATGCTTACAACAACCTTTCTAAATCTACCCAATCCTTTATATCGAGGAAACAATATTATTCTTATCTCCAAATATTCCTTAGAAACTATTGCAAATACCCGCTATAATCCCGATTGGCTTCACGAGATCACAGGTGCGAGAAGCAGGCGCGACTATAGAGTATGCGCAACGTCATTTATCCCCTCCAAATCTGGGCTTATCAATTTAACAAATTATTTACTCCCTGTAACATGCCCGTATTCCACATAAACTCATAATGTCCCGCTTATTTCGCGCAATTCTTGTAATTGAATACATCAGCACTCATTTTCGTCAACTAATTTTCCATATTTTCGATCCATACCTAATTTTCATGTGCCACGATAGCGCTCATCTGTTGTGCACAACATAATTATAGCCAAGTTGAATATTCAGCTATGGATGTACAACTTCTTTCAAATAATATGACTATTGTAAGTGATATATGAATTCGGATGTTCTAGGTTTACCTCCCTGGTGGTCGATAGCATTGTATCGAATTTTTAAATGAAAACATTTTTGCATTTATGTTCTCCGAATTTATTTGCTCTAAACTGGTACAATTGTAGCAATGGTATTGTATTATAGATTTTCGTGCTGTTCACCGTAAAGAAACATCGTCAATTGACTACTTATTCACTTCTGCTCAGCTAGCCTCCAGATTATTTCTTACATGATTGGATAATATATCGACAGCATGCTTATAAAGGCTATTGTCTCCTAATTTCCCGCACCAGGGAACAGTCACTTCTACCTTTCAGCTCATCAGCCTCTTTCATCTTATTTTTTATGATCGTTTAGAGAGACGAGTCCCTCCAGAAGTCTTTCTAAGTTTGACTACTTTTCTAAAAGGTAGCTGGTGTAACTTCTCAAAATCACTTTATGTGCACAATGAAATAAGGACGGAAACCTCAGTTTGGCACGTCATCAAATCTCCAGAAATTCCAAGGCCTACCCTTTCAATAAGAGGACTCGAGTGTCATTCGGAGCGGGTATGAACTGTGGCGAGCTTGGCTTTTGTTTGATCAAACGCGACATTTTCCATGTGCGGTGAGGAAGAGAGCAATTCCGAGCGGTGTATCATCCACGTATAGGTTTGGACAGTACACATCAACCCCACCCACCCACCCCATCACCATCAGCTCGCGCTTTCGTCGTCTCCTCTCTTTCCTATCGCAATCCGCTCAGAGCCTGAGCTAACACTTTTGTCATTTCGACGGCATTAGCCCAAGCTTTAATTCGGCATTCACTTTCAAGCAAAAACTTTTCTTTTATTTTACTTGAAGTCTCAGTTGCGAAAAAAACCATGCGTAGATGGACGATCATCAACTATCTGGGGGAAGGTAGGTTGTTGAGAAGATTTCCCCATTCTAATAATGCTAGTGATAATTTCGTCACCCTCATCAAAAGCAAGGTCTTGTGGGGCTTCCACTAACTAACTTTTTTGTCGCACTCATCAAGAAAATCAGATTCTAACACATCCACAGAGGAACAAAAATTAATGGCTTCTTTACCTCTCTCATTTCCAAATCTAGAAGATTCGTGGTGCCACTCATGAAAGTCATGTTTCGTAAAGCTCAATGAAGCCATTCCGTGCTTGATTTTGGACCACATATTTCATAAACTTTTTATCTGCGCTTTTTTAATTTTCCTCCTTTTTCATAGAAGTTCTTTCACAGTGCCTATATGTCGCTGCTATGTTATGAGTTTTATCCACTTTGTTTTGCTCTCGTGAACAATCATTTCCTTCCAGATATATGGTACAATAAGTAGCAAACTGTTATGAGTGCAGCTGCCACTGAAGGACCGCCAGAGGCGAAGAAATTCCGCATCGATTTGCCAACACAGGTACCAACTACTTTCCTTTTGAATGATGGCTCATTATTCAATGTTAAGGACTTAAGCCCATTCAGCTTGGATCATGCCGCTAGAGCTGAAATGCGAAGCTATTTTCTAGCTCATTATTATGAAACGGGAAGTAGAATGGTCAAGAAATGACACTATTTAGTGCGATAAAATGGAGAGAGTCTAATGTGATTAATGTTATCAACAATCGTTAGACCTACTTGATTGGTTACGGAAAATCTTTCGACTTTAGTTCGTGCTTCCAAAGTTGTTGTTGCAAAGCATATCGTAAGCCATATGAGTTTCTTGCTCGTTCTATTATATAACACGTTGGAAAAAGGGAATAATAAAGAAGAAATTAAACTGTCATTGTAGATTACAAACTCTTTCAAATTGTA